TTGTCATGTTCGCTTATGTTCACGACCAAAAATACTGTTATCTAGATATTGTGAAACAAACTTTAATGTAAAAGATTTTTTGATGAAAAAGGTATTGATGATATAGTAGCACTTAAAACTAAAATATCTATATCTGTCTCTTTTCAGCATGGTTCGAATTCAGAATAGGATCTCTATCGGCTTAGAAGTTCTTCAATATTTCACGACTCGGGAATGGTGGTTCGATACAAATAACTACAAGTCTTTGGTTCATCTACTGAATCCTGTTGATAAGGAGACATTCCCAATGGATACGACCATCATAGAGGATGAACCTTACATAGAGAGCTGCATGATTGGAGGCAAGTTGTACTGCTTAAAGGAAAAACTGGAAAACTTGCCAAAAGCCAGATTGCAGAATCATATGTAAGTATACCTAAATGTTATTAGATGACGTATACATCAAACATCTTAATTCTAAGCTCGAGATTTGACTGTTCGGTTGGTGCGGTGGCTGGGTAAATGGCTACCTCGCAACATGTCGCGGGTTCGATTCCCGCACGGAACAACTCTCTGTGTCATCTTCAAATTGTTTTTCCGGGACAGGGCGTGATGTGTATGTGAAAATGTATGTTTGTTACAACACCCACGACACAGGAGAAAAAAATCTCGTGTGGGCCAATGTTTTAAGAGAAAAAATTATAATAATTAAATAGCTGCTTTACCTTCAAAATACATTAATAGATATTGTTAATGAGCCCACCACGGTTAATTCACGTCCACCCACCCAGCCGGTGACCCGCTTCGCTGGTTGAAAAGGATTACCCCCGATGTGAGGAAGATAGTTCTCTTATACGCTCCGTGACCTTCTTTGCGAGCATAATATACAAATGGGCTTTTAAAATTCATGAATTGACGCAGCCCGTTCATATGGATGATACTTGTTTTTTTTTTTTTCATTGTTTTCCACCGTCTACCATTTAATACTTCTATGCCAGCATTCATTCAAGGTCAATGTTCACAATATTAAGATACCGTAAACATTCGGCTTTTCTCGCCTGGGTTAACGCTCGTGACCATAAAGCTCCGGATCTGTGCTCAAAGAGGAGAGCCTTTAACCATGCTGCCAAGTCCTACAAAAAGGCACTGAGGAAGGCTCGCTTCGACCGTGCCCAAGAAGGGCAGTCGTGCCGATCCTGCCAACTATCGGCCGATTTCGATAACCTCCATACTCTGCAAGATTATGGAGCGAGTGTTGAATTCGCGCCTCATGGCATATCTAGAAGGTAACGATCTCCTCAGCGACCGACAGTATGGATTTCGCCGCAACCGGTCTACTGGGGACCTACTAGTTTATGCCACTCACTTGTGGGGCGAGGCCCTCGAGAGGAATGGGGAAGCTATTGCCGTGTCCTTAGACGTGTCGAAGGCCTTCGATAGGGTATGGCACGATGGCCTTTTGTCTAAGCTTCCAGCGTACGGCATTTCTCCTGGACTGTTAAACTGGGTAAAAGACTTCCTGAGTGGACGGTCACTCCGAGTTGTTATCGATGGATGCTCATCAGAGCCTATGTCGACTAATGCCAGTGTTCCTCAGGGGTCTGTTCTCTCTGCAACTCTATTCCTGCTCCACATTAATGATCTGCTAGTGCCTGGTATCCTTGGGTATGCAGATGATAGCACAGTTGTAGAGAGATACCTGCCCAGTGCTCGGGCTAGTAAGGAGCTAATCCAGTCTGAAAGGGAGGCTATGGTAGAGCGTACGAATGTCTCACTTCAGGTAGTTTCAAAGTGGGGCAAAACTAATCTGGTAACATTCAACGCCACCAAAACACAGGCGTGTCTATTCACCGCCAAAAGGAGCCCGTTCACCTTGGCTCCTGCTTTTCGGGATGTATCCCTGGAGTGCACCGACCGCCTTCAGCTCTTGGGAATGGACATTGCTTCAGACCTCAACTTTGGGCGGTTCATTGAGTCCAGAGCCAAGGTAGCTGCTAGAAAACTCGGCGTTCTTGCAAAAGTCCGACGGTACTTCACACCGAGTCAGCTTCTAATGTTGTATAAAGCTCAGGTCCGATCGTGTGTGGAGTACTGCAGCCACATATGGGCTGGTGCTGCGAAATGCCACCAAGCGGCTTTGGATTCGGTGGAAAGGCGTGCAATGAGGCTGATTGGAGATCCAGATTTGGTTGGGTCCAATATTCAAAGTCTCGAGCACAGGCGCAGAGTAGCCAGCCTTGCGGTTTTCTACAGGATACATTTTGGAGAGTGTGCCCAGGAATTGCACGATTTGATTCCGCCATCCCAATTTCACCTTCGGACATCCCGGCGTACGGCGAATATCCACCCCTACGTTGTTGAGACACCTGCGGCCCGGACTAAGCGTTTTGCCTCGTCATTTATACCGCGTACATCGAGGGATTGGAACAGTTTGCCGGCTGCAGTCTTTCCGTCCGAATACAACTTAGGTGTCTTCAAGGCTAGAGTGAATAGGCTCTTAATAAACTAGTGCGCCTTACCATCAACGATTGCATCACTGCTTAACATCAGGTGGGATCGCAGTCAAGCACTGGTTTATTGCAAGTAAAAAAAAAAAAAAAAGATTGATTATACATATTGTACTATTATTTTTCCAGATTGTACATCTTGGATCGCTTGGTATCTCTATTCTTCTACCTCATTCTGCTGTACTGGATCGTGTCTTACTTCGAGCCAGCTCGGGAACTACTCTCGTACGGTGGTCCAGCAGTTCGATACTTACCTTTAGTTGGCAAAGCAGTATTTAAAGATGTGTAATAGAATCAAAAGTTGCCACTACTTAGTTATTAATGGTAGTAAGTACCTTTTAGGTACATTTACCTATTTCCAAAATAGCGTAAATTGAATTTTTTAAACACAATTTTCGTAATTTTCTGAATCTCTGAGCATAATTTGGCGACATGACTTACAGTTGAGACTTTAATACATACCTAATCGGAGTAGTAGTACACTAGTGTTCCTATAAAATAATAATCATAAAACACTGAAACTAAATGAAAAAAATTGTGCCAAGTTTCTGAACATGTCGAATAACGTTTGGCAAAAATTTAAAACATATGTGACATGTATATTTTTATGAATTATATTTTATCTTGGAGTTGGTGAATCCTTATAAATTTAATAAAAGACGTATGGGGTTTCGTAATGTATTCCTTTATGCAATTGGAAAATAGAGATACTTAGGTATTTTCTACACATAATTGGGTAGTTTCCTAGGTCAAAAATAAATTAATTCTACGTTTCAATACAATAAAATATTGAAAACTAACTATACTTTTATTTATCGATCGATCGATCGATATACTAAGTTTTAGATATTTTGTAGCTAATTATTAAGAAATGAGTAAGCTATTTGACGCAAAAATACTATGACGTCATAACTCAGCTTTTCATACAAATTTTAAAGAAAAGTAACATTTTTGACATTTGGATGAAAGTATTGAATTTGACTAGTTGGAAACTACCGTATTATTGAAAATAACGATTTAAGTACTGACGTGGATTAACTGAGGAATTAATTGTCACTGCGCAACGTCGCGGTACAGCGTACACCGCAATGCGCTTTCTGCTCATTAATAAGAGTCCCGTTGTAACTTGAAACTAGTAGAGCTTTTCTCGATTGAATCACGAGTAAGTCGTTACTTTCAGTAAATTTAGTATGTCTCATGCATGACAATTACTATATATTTTTATTTTTCTATAATTGGGTATTAAAAAAAATATTAGACTGAACTGAACTCTTTATTTTTTAAGCTTTATTATCGTCTTCATTTAATTTTGAAACTTACAGGTTTAATAGACTTATGGTTGACAATAGAATGTAAGTTTATTCCGTCCACGACAAATATTGAGATAATACACAATACTTACATAATTACGATATACCTAGTGATATTTTTTTGTAAATGATATTTTATATTTTTTTTATAATACTCGTACCAAATATACGATTAAATAATTATTAAATTAGTTTTATTACTAAAAAACATCAAATCCATGTGTAATCAAATATTTTTCTACTGAATATTGTTTTGCTTAGATACAGTTCGTCAAGATTAACACATCATACAAAAATGCCAAATCATGACTTTCCACTACACATCGTCATGGCCGACAGACACGCTTTTATTTTTTTCAAAGTTACCTTAATTAAAGTTTGTTCTGTATTCTGAGTAACTAAATAAACAATTGACTTTATTTTTGACGAACAAGTTTCATATCTTGTTGGGTTTCATTAATGTCCTCACTAGATGGCGTTGATGTGACTTAAAGTCTTGTTAAAACTATAACTACCGCTGAGAATAGACAATAGATGATAGATGAAAAAGCATTGGAATGGCAGTGGAACCTAGCCTAACAACCTAACTGGGCCTCGAGTCTGCTATTACAATAGTGTCAGAATAGTAAGATCATTGGTTTAAAAATTGTTGATTTTGACAAGTTTAGTAATCTACTAACACGATAGCGTCAGTATGACTTTCTAATGCCACTTCATTGAAATAATTCTTTAGAACGGTAATCTCGTACATAATGACAAATTAATATTTGACATAATGCGGTAAATTAATAAAAAAAAAACACTTCCTTTATTCATTGATTTACGTTTAGAATATTAATGTGCAGTTATTGTTTATAATTTGTTAGAAGACATCTCGTACTACATTTTTATTACGACATCGCCGAACGCCAATGATCAGCCATTTTGAATAAACAGATTACGAACTTTTAGCAAAATGACAATGGAATCGTGTAGGAATGACAACACTTTGAAAATAGTAGACTCGGGCCCCAAGTCATAATTCACATTATCTACTCGATAATTACAAGGAATATATTTAACTAAAGCTAACATTCATAAAATTGAGTTCGTTCAACTAATACATTCGAGCTTAAAAAGTAATGTCCATATCGGTAGAAACCGAGACGCACTGGCAAGTTTTCTTACTAAATATAAAATAAATGACTTGATAAATCACTTAGTTATGCACATCTCAAACCAAATTACTGTTTGCAGCAGTCGAAGAAAATCTTAAATCGGGAGGGATACCTCAAACTTAGGGAAAATTTTGACTTTCAACCTCTTTCTTAAAATCTAGTTAAGATAACACTACGGCATCTCCAAAGCGATCATCCAGTGCCGAGCTTAGAGTATCCACCTCATGTTCGCAGATGAAGAAAGCCCTCGTTCCACAACTAATGTCATTCAGAAGTCCATTGTAAAACATGGAACCACACTGCTCCTTTTCACCTCCATCGGGTTGATTTGTGCCCCAACATGTGTATCCAGTGTCATCTAATGATGTACCTGTAATTATAATGAAACAGTATTAATTGAATAACCTTAATCATCGGCCACTTTCATATCTGCGTTACCTAAAAAGGTCGACTGGAAAGAAATGCCGAAAGTATTAAGTCCGCATGTTAGGATGTTTGTAATTTTACTAATATTATAAATGCAAAAGTTACGATGTTTGGATGTTTGTTACTCAATGACGCCAAAACAGTTGGACGGATTTGGATGAAATTCATCACAGGCATAAGTTATACGCGGGCAAAGCCGTAGGCGGAAGCTAGTAAGTTTAATTAATAAATATAATCACGTTTCTTGCATTTATTTTTAACTGTAACTGTTTAAGCGGGGTGGGTTTCCAAACAAACTTTCAATTTCAAAATCATGGAAACTAACAAATATTATTTTTATAATATAGGGAGGCAAACGAAAAAGCGGATCGCCAGATGGAAAGCAAATAGCGCCACCCATGGATACCCGCCACACCAGAGGAGTTACAAGTATGTAAGAATTCCAAGATGACGTCAACCTAGAACTCATACACCATACATACATTGGGCAACCGGTAATCTCATTCACGTGGCGAAAAACAACGCTGTGGTCGTATCACGCTGATTTTCTGTCAGGCGGTTTTCTATTAAACTGATTAGAATTAATTTTTATTTATTTAAACTTCATGCACAATGGGTACAAAGGCGGTCTTAATGCCTAAGGCATTTTCTACCAGTCGAGCCTTGGGTGATGCAGAGATGAACCAATGGTCGGTGCAAGAAGCAAGCAAATGACTTTATTTTATATGAGATATGACATACATTATAGAATTATCATATAATATAAAAATTATCATATAATATATCATACAATATAAAAACTGTAATTGTTTATGAACCAACTTTGTGTTCATAAACAATTACAGTTTATCAGCATCGATCACTAATGTTTTTTATTAGTGATCGATGTTTATCAGTTACCTTTGTATCAGAATACAGAACAGTTAGTTCGATTTCAAGTCATACCTACTTTAAATAAAAATAACTCTCAATTCGACTGCACGGTTGGTGCGTTAGCTCAGCAACTGGCTGCCGTGCAAGACGCGGGTTCAATTTCCGTACGGAACAACTCTTTGTGTGATCTAGAAATTCTTGTTCCAGGTCCGGGCGACATGTGTATGTGAAATTGTAAGTTTGACACCGCACCCACGACACAGGAGAAAATACTAGTGTAGGGCAACGTTTTTCTATAAAAAAAATTACATACCTCTAACAGCTTGCCAACCCTCATTAGCTCTGTTATGGAAGCCCAAGTGAACCGCTCCTCTCATATAGTTCCCTGGTACATTGTCTTTAGGCACGGATTCAGTTAAAGCAACAAGATAATCAGCTTCTTGCTGGGTATTGATAACAGCTAAGTATGACTGCTCAGCATTGCAGACAGCATAAGCTTCCGTCCAGTTCAAAGGATTCAGGTGGAACTTGTAGCATCTACCGATCTGCTCATTGTAAACGTAATCTGAAAGAAACAGTTTTGTTAATTATATTAATAGTAGTTCAATTTTTTTTTAGAGTGCATTGACTTTCATTTGAGACTTGATTAGATGGCGTGACCGAGCTATGTAAGTACCTATGTAATTACAATCGTAGAAATTAGCCCAACACCGTCCAGTTCCAACTTATTCATTTTTTTAACAAAGTTTTCGATTTTGAAGTTTCGAAGTAAGAAGCTTGTAATTTATTGCTAAACAGTTCAATACAGCGTTTGAAACCAGTCGAGCAACATGGATCACGTTATTTATTGGTTTATGAACATACATACAAAATAAATGACAACATATTTATAAACTTTAAGTACATAGGTGCTATTTACTAGTATTGGACTTTTTTCCCGCAGACCTATGACAAGCTGAGGAATTGAGATACATAACACAGTTATTTATTTTGCCATTGTTCTTATATATTGTATTCTAAAAGAGATGAGTTTCGTTTCATAGTATCAATTGAATGCTTCGTTTCAGAGTCTCGCGCGTCGTGAGTCTGTCATACATTGCGTGCGTAGTACGCAGCGGACCGCCAAATCCCTCTTCTATATAAGCAATGTACGACGACGTCAACCTCGCCGCGCAACGCACCGCGTCTCCGTAAATGAAGCTGTATTTTTATAATTTCTCATTTTACCTCTAATGGTGTGTTTTCCCACTTAAATAAATTATTAGCCAAAATACAAAAACCCAATTATACATGAATTGACCCTTAATTTACATAATGTTAATATTGAAGCAATTTTGCGTATCATTGGCAAATTGTTGGAAACCAAACCAGACCGAACTGGTTCTATAACTATAATAGGTACGTACCTACTTATATAAAAGTTAAACTTGATGAGTAACTGGTTGTAGAAATTATGGTAGGTGTTCCTACTATTTTGTGGTTATTGCCATAAAAACATTTGTTTTAGTTGATGGCTGATGTCCTGCCGGGTTTGCGGATGCAATTGTAATAATGAAGGTACTAAAGAATAAGTGTGGGAGAGCCATGCTTCGGCACGAATGGGTCGGCTCGACCGGAGTGATACCACGGCCTTATGGAAAACCCGGCGAGAAATAACCACAGCGTTGCGTTTCGCCACGTGAGTGAGGTTGCCGGAAGCCCAATCCTTCCCCTCCCCCAATCCCTCCTCAATCCCGAAATCTCCAAATCCCGAATCCCTAAAAGGTCGGCAACGCACTCGTAACTCCTCCGTTGCGAGTGTCCATGGGCGGCGCTGATTGCTTACCATCAGGTAATCCGTCTGCTCGTTTGCCGAGCTATAACATAGAAAAAAGACCCGACCCGGAGCAGAAGTTATGAAGAGATGGTGTCGACTAAAACAATGGACTACACGGTTATTGACTGCACGGTTGGCGCGGTGGCTAGGCAACTGGCTGCCGTGCAACGTGTCGCGGTTTCGATTCCCGCACGAAACCACTCTTTGTGTGATCCATAAATGTTTCTCCGGGTTTGGGTGTGATGTGTAACATGTGAAATATTTATATTATATAAATCTCTACTAGGTTATATTATAAAGAGGTAAACTTTGTATGTTTGTAAGTTTGTATGTAGGGGATAATATTTGGAACCGCTGGTCCGATTTCCAAAATTCTTTCATTGATAGATAGCTACAATGTTCCTGAGTGCTATAAGCTATAAAACATAACGCTACGATTAAATGGAGCAGGTGAAACTGCGCGAGATTAGCTAGTATTTATATATATTTAAACGCAACCACGGAACAGGAGGAAAACTTAGTGTGCAATAAAGTTAAAAAAAAATGAGAATAAAAAAGGTAGTAAGAGGCTGAAACTCTCTCTTTTCCTCCACTCAAACAATAAACTGCAAATTGGGTAATATCCTAGGTCAAAAATAAATTAATTAAACTTTTCAATACAAAACCATACATATTGAAAAATATCTATACTTTTATTCATCGATCGAACGATACACTAAATTTTTAATATTTTTTAGCTAATTTTTAAGAAATAAGTAAGCTATTTGACTTAAAAATACTATTAAATCAAATCAAATTCTTTATTACAAGTTTTTTTTTTATGGTATAAGTTGGCAAACGAGCAGACGGATTACCTGATGGTAAGCAATCGGCGCCGCCCATGGACACCCGCAACACCAAATGAGTTACGAGTGCGTTGCCGGCCTTTTGGGGATATGGGTTGCGGATAAAAGGATCGGGAAGGGATAGGGGAAGGGGAGGGATTGGGCCTTCGGTAACCTCACTCACACGGCGAAACACAACGCTAGTAGACCACAAAAGGCAATTTTGAACGTCAAGCAAAAAATATATCATAAGGTTTAACTTTATATGTGTCAGTCTGTCCGTCTGTCCTCTAGTGAAGCTATTTGCTCGTTCCAAAGTGTAGATTTCGATGGAGAAGAACGAACAAAAACTCCATGGTTACTCTTTTTCAATCACTTTTTACAATGCATTGTTACATAATTTAGATAGTTCCGATGACGTCATAACTCAATATTTCATACAAATTTCATAGAAAAGTATCATTTTTTAACATTTGGATTTTGAGTAGTTGGAAACTGCCGTATTATTACGTGATAACGTTAAAGATAAATATTTTGCAGTTGTTTTTATTATCTGCACATACTGCGTTTATTATGTAAATGCCATATAACTATCGTAAACAATTGCAGAAAGTACGTATAGTTACATAGGTATAATCTTAAAGGTCTAGTACTTATAGTTACATATAATCTTAAAGGTCTAAGGTCAATAAACCAATAATAACAACGTATTTTCCCTTGTTTTATCATATAACTTAACGCATCAATTTCATTCCCCGGTTTAATTAGGGGCCGGTGTAAATAATAATCGGAGGTCATAATGTTAATACATAATGAGGTCGTGGTGGCCCAGAGGTTGAGGAGCCCGCTTCTCGTGCGTGAGGCTGTGGGTTGTGACTTTTTCCGAGTTATATGTACCGACTTTATATGATTATTTAGACACCACTGACAAACGGTGAAAGAAAACATTTCGAGGAAACCTGGACTTATAATTTCTAATTATAAGTTTGAAATTGCCAAACCGCATTGAGCAAGCGTGGTGATTAATGTTCAACCCTTCTCCTTGTGGAAAGAGGCCTTTGCTCAGCAGTGGGCTGATGATGATGATACATAATAATATAACAGAAAACGTACTGAACCATCATCAATAAGCTACCTAAGTTGCACAAATACCAGAGGATTTCTAAATATCGGGGTAAAGGAATTGGTCTCTTGAGCGGAGTGGGTTAGATCTCTTGATATTATTACTAAATAAGGGTTTTTATTCAAAAATCGAATAAAAACGTCGTGATGGTCCAGAGGTTGTGATCTGAAATATCGTTAGAAAACCTAATTATAAGGCTTTTGGTTAGCAGTATATAATATATACATATATAGGCTGCTTCTGCTGATTTATTTTTTTATGTGATAGGTCGGCAAACGAACTGAAGGATTACCTTACGGTAAGCAAATCAGCGCCGCCCATGGACACCTGCAACAACAGAGTCGTTTCGAAAGCGTTGCTGACCTTTTGGGATTAGGGATTTGGAGATTTAAAGAGAGATTGCGGGGAGGATGATGATGATGGTAATAGACAGTTATTACCTATTGTTATTTTACTAGCAGTTTTAATCAAGAAAAAAAATATTTAAAAACAAAAAAGTACCAATCGAATCTCGGCGATTCCACATTCCAACAACCAGCTTATATTGGCGTGCAAATCAACCGCACCCTGTGTGAAATATAAAGCGCAAATATTTCAAATGCTGTTTAGTTTATGTTTTAAAATTCGAAATTTTTACTGTTTGGATCTCAGATTACTTACCGCTGAGTTTTGAGAAATGAAAAAAACGTTAAACATAAAGTCGGATCAGTTCATTCACCTTGCCTTGTGTGTGGAGTATATCTGTATAATGTACGAAATAAAATAATATAATTGTGTGTTGCAAAGGTCTGGTATAAACGTAGGTACATTTATTATAAAACAAACCTATTATTAATCGTTTAGGTGTGTTTAGGTACGCTAAAGACAACGAAATATATTTTCCTGTTCTATTCTTTTTTTTTCTTTCTTTTTTTAAAAAAACGTTGCCCCACACTTGGATTTTCTCCTGTGTCGTGGGTGCGGTTACAAACATATAATTTCACAATGCACATGACACCCAGACCCGGAACAACAATTTGTGGGTCACACAAAGAGTTGTTCCGTGCGGGAATCGAACCCGCGACACGTTGCACGGCAGCCAGTTGCCCAGCCACCGCACCAACCGTGCAGTCATAGTCATATTCGTTAGGTTCTTTATTATAATGTGTTTTAAATCAGATTGAAATAAACATACTTAATGAATGAATTAACATTTCGAAATAGAACTCAGCGCAGAGATTTGGCATTGAGAGGCAAAAGTTCCTACGAATTGAACTCTAAATTTTTTGTAGTTAGTATATAAGTAATACCACGTATATAAGTAGTATATAAGTAATATGACGTGATTCGATTTACTTGTAGCTTGAAAGCTGGGCTGATTTTGAACAAAAGTGCACCAGAATGTCATTTACCATAGCAATCTTCGTTTCAGCGCCGCGACCCCGTCTCGTACGGAGTCGCTGCATTATGCTAAGCGTGGGCCATTTCGCGTGCTTGGACGCATATTTTTCTCCTACCCTCTACTTTTGTGATATTGTTTTTAACTTGCTTAATGTATTTTTATTCTTAACTTTATTTTATTATCTGGTTCGTTTTGTGTCTTTTATGCGTCCCAGACGCGAATAAATACTTTTTCTTTCTTTCTTTCTTTCTTTCATTTTCTTCATTTACCCAACAAACTCCGTACCGCCTTAAAAATTATAACTTATTATATGTGACTTGATACTTTAAACATTCCCTGGACTTCAACAAAAATTTTAACAGACCAGCCGTTCTCCAATTTAAGCGAGAGTAACGAACACCATTTCATTTTTGTTTGTATATATAGGACTAATTGAAATAAAATTAAAATTAAGGTACGGAATCAAAATCTCGTATTCAGATTGTATTTAGAGTTACAAATGAAATCGCTTAGTTGTCGTCTACCAATGAACGTCCTCTAATAAACAAAGACATCCACATTGAGGAAATCACTCAAAATATAACGGTCTCTTGCAAGACCATAAGTGGCTTTTTTTCTAAGAAAGAAATCATTCTGCCGACCAGGTTAGGCGAGAGAGAGTGTCAGACTCTTACTGACTAAAAACCTCCCGTTCCTTCTCCTGCATTAGGCCGCGGTGCCTCATTGTGATAACCCCGCAATCCCGGCTGAACATCAACCCGTCTGAGACCATAAGTGGTATGTCATTCTCTCTCACTCCTTCTCTTATTTAGGATTCCTTTTTTTAGAGGGCAAACGAGCTGATGAATCTGGAGCGAATGAACTACAAGTGTGTTGCCGACTTTTTGAGGATTAGGGATTTGGAGATTTTTAGCTTGGGGGAGGGGAAGGAATGTAGTTATTACATGCCGGTGTTCTGTGAGGCCGTGGTACCAATCCGGTCGAGCCGACCCATTCGTGTTGAAGCTTACCTCTCCCACACTTATATGGCTCTCCCACACTTAAATATACCACATATCCATCAAAGTGAAAAATAAAAGAAAAAATCTTATCATACCCAAGTTAGGGAAATTGCATCTCTGATTCCATTCCAAAGATTGTAGACTCTTTTTGCATATAAAGGGGAACTTCTTATTGCATTGGTCATCATTGAGGGTGCCATCTTGTCTCAGGATCACGCAGTCCTCGACTCCACCAGCGTCATTAGGTTCTCCAGGGCCCCAATTGTTGTACACGTCCGATACTGGAAGACCTGCAAAATTTTAATGTATTTAATATAAGGTAGACGAAAGATAACAACCGGTTTTTGTTTTGATCTCTCTCTCTCTCTCTCACATACACACACACACACACACACACACATACATACACACACACACACACACACACACACACACACACACACACACACACACACACACACACACACACACACACACACACACACACACACACACACACACACACAAACTCGAGCGCGCGCACATTTAAAAAAAACATTATATAACAATAATTCTTCACTAATTAATTGAAAGGAGCTTCGTTTCATGCGAGCTTCAATTGTCACCTCTCAAGTTATTATATTTTAAAATACACCGTGTGGTGACGGTCGATTGGAAAACATAGTACCTATGGTAAGGGCGGCTACGTCGTGATTGTTAAAAAGGTGGACTATGGGACTATGTATTTATGGGAACTGACCAGAGCAGTGCTCCCAGAACTGACCTCAAGTATGAAATCTTTATCCGATTGTCAAAAACGGAAACTATGATGAGGAGTTCCATGGTTGGAGCTAAGGTACGTAAGGACGATGATGATTTAAAAATATAAAACATCCGAGTGAAGGACGCCACGCAACGAAAAGACAAATATTTAATAATACTACTAATAAAAAATCTAGTCTTTAGTAATTAGTAAACATTGATTACAAGAGACGGTGACGTCATAAATCGTTAACAACAAACTCATATTTTTTTATTTAATTCATACTTTTGTTTACGTATTGGAAATTTTACCATATAAATAATAATGATATAACGTAGGTACTACATAATACAAATAGATGCCGGATAATTCTTTAGACAATAACTTACAGACATATCTGTCCAGCCGTTTTGGCGTGATTGAGTAACAAACATCCAAACATCTTAACTTTCGCATTTATAATATTAGTAAGAAGTAAGATAAATAATATTCAAACAACCTATGCTTACCGTCAATAGTTTCAAAAACTCCTTTGACGATTAAATCTGAGATCCCCACGTGCACCCAACGGTACGGTTGGGTAGCGTTCCAAAATGAAAGCACTGCGTGGGCCTCATCGTCGTTTTCTGGGTAGAATAAACTGGCTCCTTCTAATGCACAAACTCGCTTCGCTTCAGACCAAGTTTTATGTAAAGTGTGGATCTTGTAGAAACCCTCAACTTCTTCTAAATATTTGTAATCTTTACGGAAGAACTTTTTGTTTCTTTGGCCATCTACAAATCGAAATACAAGTAGGTATTAGACTACAATGTCTTCCTTAGAAGAACGAATAATATGAAAGAAAGAACAAAGCAATTATGCAAATACTTTAAAAATTATATGGCTACTTACATGAATAGTCCGACACCAAGTTGAATACGAAAACAAATAACAATATTCTCGATACCATTTTAATAAGTGATGCGATGTAGGTACGTCTTGTTTCACTCGAGGCGCGAGCCAAACTTATAATAAATATGAGGTCGCAGAACGGATTCTCCGCCAGTCTACACAATTTGCATAAAGATATATATAAAGATGTACGTATATTAGGATGGTTATCGCGTGTCAAATGTTATTTATTCTACACGAATAACAGGAAAACACACATATCGTCGAACAACTTCGAAATGTTTTACTCATTTGGATTATCAGGGTTTTTTTTGGGTTTAAACATTAATTAGTTTCTAATAAATATATGTTACCTGCGTTATTAAATATATTTAAAAGTTAACCAACAAAAATACAGTTATCGAAACAAAAAATATGTTTGTGTGGTAAGACCGCTATACATATTAAAACCTCGATCGTTACGCTCTGCATTTTTGGTATTAAATTAAAAAGAAAGGAAACAAATATATCTAATAATATGTGAGTATACCCAGTGCCGGTATGGACCACTGACATCCCGGGGGAAAATATTATGGCGCCCACTTGAGGGAAGCAATATCATAGTACTTACTAGTATCGTATTAGTTTTTTGCTGGTCGTATTGATATCGTTAGATCTCTGATGACTCTTTGACCACAAACCCTCAATAAAAAATATGCATATGCACAGAACGTAGACTCCATCTTCAGACCTTGGCGCCTCCCAGAATTTGTCACCCTGGGACATCGCCCCATTACACCCCACCCTAACGCCGGCACTGAGTGTACCTGTCCTCACATTTTTATTTACTCCTTTTATTACTTATTAGAACTCTATTCAGCTGTACCGGTTACTGGATCCTCAATAAATAAAAACATACATATGTATATCAGGTGCCCTCTGTTGGGAAGTCCTCTTCTCACATGGAGAGAAAGAAAGTTTGAGCATTAATCACCACGTTTACTCCGGTAACCTCACTCACACGGCGAAACACAAAATGACATAAGTTCGAAATGCATAAATACATACGAGTATAATTTTTGACTGACTGGGTGATGCAATTTTATTCATATTGTAGGTTTGACCTGCAGTTTTGTGGGTCATCTTTTAGATGCCTACATTGCAGGAATTATCAACATTACATACTCTGATGTCGCAGTTCTACATTGGTCAACATTGTTTCATTCATTCATTCATTGAAAATCATCCAATGACTTCTCCCGCCCAGGGTAAGGCGAGAGAGAGTGTCAGACTCTTACTGACTAAAAACCCCCCCGTTCCTTCTCCTGCTCTGGGCCGAGGTCGCGGTGCCTCATTGCGCTTACCCCGCAGCCCCGGCTAAACATCAGCCCTTTAGGGCCCCGACTGTGGTGGTCTATTGGCTCTTTGAGGCGCGCGCGGAACGCTACGCGCCGTACGCTCGGGTCCGGTTCTGGTCGGGCGGCGAACTACCCTTACTCGCCGTCCGTCATCGGCGGCGCGAGAGGTCGCCGCCGCCGATCACTTCCCTGAGAACACGGCGGTGCTCAGCCCAAGCAGGGCACTCCGCCACCGTATGCTCCACCGTGTCCTCCAGGTGATCCGCACAATGACGACACTCGCCCGAGTTTCCTCCCGCTGGATCCGAAACAGGAACCTACCAAAGCTGCCGTGCCCGGTAAGCACCTGCGTCAGGCGGAAGGTGAGGACGCCGTGGCGTCTCTCAAGCCACTCCTCAAAGAGGGGTCTTACCGCTGCTATAGTAGCGTGCCCGACATATAATAACACCTAATGTAACATTATGGAATGCAATAAACATTTGAATTTGAATTTGAATTTGAAATATAATAAACTACTTTAGCATTAGCATTTTGGTATGAAAACTCCTATCCTATGTCCTTTCTTCAGTTCCAAACTACGTGTGTACCAAATTTCACAGAAATCGGTTCACTAGTTAAGGCGTGAAGAAAAGACAGACAGACAGCGTTACTTTCGCATTTATAATACTACGAGTAGTTTGGATGCATCCTAAAGTTTAATTAGTATCACATAGTTAATACCTAAAGATAGACGATGATATGCACCATTATGTTATCACTACACAACTCATATTACTTTTATTTAATTACTTTTTGCTCGCAACTTTTTTCGTCTAAATTAAGGGCTATTTTGAAGAAGAATAATCATTAAATCACTTCTCCTTTCCTGGTCGAGGTGAAAGGTAGCGTCAGACTCTTACTGACTAAAAACCACCTTCTCCTGCTCGGTGCAAGTAATAAACTAAATTAAGTTCCTTAATAAAACAAAAATCTAACTGCTTATCTCTTCAACCTTGTTATAAAGCTACAGCTGTAGGTACCTACTTACTATAAAAATATTTTTTTTCTTATAATATGAAATACGATAAGGTGACCTCGACCCTTTATTTAGTTAAAAAAAGTCGGAAAACCAGCGTGAAACAACCACAACGTTGTGTTTCGTCGTGTCAAGTGAAGTTATCGGAGGGCTAATCCTTCCCCACCCCAAACCGTAAATATATATCCAGAACCCTTGTACCCAAAAGATGGACAATCCTATGATGTTTCGAATGTCCATAAGCCGTTGCCTAACATCACATAATCCGTTTCGTTCGCCGTATTACATATAAAAAAATTTGTTTAAATTAAAAACACCGGACGGGTCCAAATTGTTTATTACTATTTTTTTCGTTATCGGGGGTTTTATATTTTATACTTATTATAGGTATTTTATATATATCATTTTATATTGCTAAGAGCACTCTCGATTAAGTCAATAACAGAGCGTTTTCATTTGAGACCTAACTCGAGTATATTTGCAGACCTTCGGTTACCCTTCCCCACCAACACCCCCTTAACTTCTAAACGGCTCAACTGATTTTCATCAAACATGTCTAAGAACACTCGCACGTAATTTACCTTTAATACAATAAAAACTAAATTGAAATTGCTTCATCCATTTAGACTCCACAATGCCACAGACAGATACACAGATAGACACGTCAATGTCAATATCCCCTCTTTTTCCGACGTGAAATGAAGTCATATTGAATAAAACAATTCTTTAGTAACGGTTTTTTTCGAAAACAAATGCCTGAATTAAGTGGCAATAAAATGATTTCTTGTGTGCTGTGCAACATGTGTATGCAGGACGCAATCTAATTGCCATATTATCATCATCAACAAAGGAGTTCTTCTTCAGTTGAGATGAGAAAGATATGCTTTGCCATAGGTTTACCATAGAGTTTAACGTATCAGCCAAGTTTTTATTTTAGTCTAATATACCTAAAAATTATTCTGCCTATTACTAAAATATTATTTCTGAACTAGAAGTTCAAAATACCTAATTGGTTGATAGTTTTTTGACTATTTATTTATTTTCGAGCTTTTCAGAGTACTAAAAAAGATGAAACCGTTTTACTTAAAAGGTATTTTACCGATTTTTAATTTCTTTTTTTGTAATAGGTCGGCAAACGAGCACACGGATTACCTGATGGTAAGCAATCAGCGCCGCCCATGGACACTCGCAACGGAGGAGTTACGAGTGCGTTGCCGACCTTTTAGGGATTAGGAGATTTAGGGATTGGGGGAGGGGAAGGATTGGGCTTCTGGCAACCTCACTCACGGGGCGAAACGCAACGCTGTGGTTATTTCTCGCCGGTTTTCTATGAGCCGTGGTATCACTCCGGTCGAGCCGACCCATTCCTGCCGAAGCATGGCTCTCCCACACTTATTTGTTTTTGGTATTTAATGAAAATACCAACCGAATATTCCTTATTCCGTATATACCATATACCTAATACTACATAAGTACCTACCTAATCACCTATTTTTATCTGTCCTTTTAACGTCGAACAATCTTGGACATGACTACTCAAGCCCTCACCTAATACGCCATTTTGTAACGACTTCCATCTTAGATTTGAAATTTTATCATAATCATAATATTCTACTTGTTAAGCCCTTTTATTTGATACCCATATAAAGGAGGTTTGGAAAAATATTAAATCGCCATTTTGTACCGGCGGCCATCGTACGATTACAATATTATTGATATCATTACATTGTATTGTCACCGGAATTAAAGGTGTGTACCAAATTTCAGATCAACCTGACAACAGGAAAGTAGTTAAATTTTAATTTCTAAGTTTGACCCAAACAAATCGATACCGTAGATACGGGTCGACTTAATAAAACCGTTTAATAATAATATTTGGCGGAAAAATTTGAATGAAAAGTTTGTAGAATCCTCATGCACCAAAAAAGAGTACATACACTTAGATACACAAACACTTTCTCATACACACACACACACACACACACACACACACACACTCTCTCTTACACACAAATACAAACACACGCACGCACACACACAAAGGCACACACACACACACACGCGCGCACTCAACTCAAATCCCTATCCACCTCCTTGATAATGTGTTATCCAATACTTGTTCCGCAGGCGAGTGACCTGGAGTCCTGAAATACAGGGGTTCCCTAGTTTAGGCTCCAGTCTAAACTGTTCCTACATTAGTGGTGGAAAATAAATGCATTTTTATTTATTTTAGTTCGGAATCGATAAATGTAAAATTAATTCAGTAAAAGCTGGATAATCTTACCAACTGCCATACAAACTACAGACAGGTGACAAAATAGATTATTTGCACTTAAATAAGCAAGCAATTCAAAAATAGATTATAAATTGTATGCAATACTCGACTAAATGCCCGAAATACTATAAAAGCTATTAATACATATGCTATACCAATCCTCACATATTCGTTTGGCATTATAAGCTGGTCCAATACCGACCTCCAAAAGTTGCAGCGCAGAATTAACACTACATTGATTGACGAAACATAGGAAACATCATCCGCGATCGTGCCTTCAAAGGCTTACTCTACTAAGAAATGATGTAAGAGGCATAATAGATATCACCAATCTCCATTACAAACAGGTAACAACATTAAGAACTTATTTTTTCAGTAAACGCCCTGCATCAACTCTGCATAATTCAATAGTTCAATGTGATAAAAAAACTTACACCTTTAAACATGGCAGATCAGACAACATAGAGCAATGAAAAACAGACAGGCCGACAAACCAAAATCTCTAAATGGATCCAGAAGTCACTACACGGGAGTCCGTGTAGTGGGTTCTGGATCACACTACCACGACCATAGCCAACCAAACGTCGATAAAGTTGCATGGAGCGAATGACATAGGCGTGGCAAATTGTTTTCTGTGACTGAAGGGTTCATGATCTCAATCCAAGACCGAGAAATAGAAACCCGTAATCACCAGAAACACATAATGCATATCCCAATACCTACCGATATCTGCAGGTAAATGCAATAGTGCAACAGAAACTATTCAGCATATCACAGGGGCCTGCAATTCAATAGTACAAACCGACTATTAACACAGAGATGACCAAATTGCAAATATCATTATAAATGCAACGTAATTTCCACCCCAGCAATACCATACTATAAATACCAACCGGATATTGTACTTGAAAACTCATCACATAAATTATACTTTGACCGAGCCATTCTTACTGACAAAACCACTCATTACAATAGACCAGATATCACTCTCATTGATAAGATTAACAAAACTTCAAAAATCATAGACATAGCCATACTGCCATACCGAACACACACAACCTCCAAAATAAAATCGCAGAAATGCTCTCTAAGTATACAGACCTCAAAAACTAAATAACTAGAATGTGGCGACTTAACAACGTCACGATAGCTCCTATAGTCATATAACAACAGGTGTAATCCCCAAACAACTTTACCAGTCCATAAAAACGCTCCAACTACCATCCTACAATTACCAAAATCGAATTTCGACGGAGTTCTTGATACGTTGGTACGTACGATAAAAACTGAGTTTCTGTGACATGTTAGACTCTTTACCTGTCATTTACCTGTCATATTGTAAGATTTGTTTTAAATTAAACAAACATGGACCAGTACACCCTAACTGGAGACATTAAGTTGGGTTAGCACTTGGCTTCGGCCCGTACTTACCCTCAATTCCTAATGAAAAATGAAAGAAAACGAAAATAATAATAAAAAGGAAACTTTTTTTCAGTTGGACAAGAAATACTGTTCCGTTCAGATTACACATATATTGCAAAACAAAAGAGTTTCTATAAGGTTCACCAGCAGCCTGAAACTTGGTTAGAAGCCAAACGCATATGTGCTCTCGAAGACGCAACCCTATTTCACCCAGAAAATGCGAAAGAAGCTAAAGATGTGAAGTCGTTTATCAGTAACTCTATGCCATGGATAACTGTGATACAAACATCATTAAATGATATCGATATAGAAGGATATTTTCAGACCATTGATGGTGAGTCGCTACCCTACCACTTTTTTTTAATTACAGAATCTATTAAGCTTTAAACAATGTGCCTTATATCATTACCATCAGCCTATAGATGTCCACTTCTAAACAAAGGCCCCTCTCACACGGAGAGGGATGAGCGTTAATAAGCACGCATGCTCGATTCACGATTGGTCATTCCGAACTTACAATTAGAAATAATAAGTCCAAGTTTCCTCACGACGATTTTTTCATACCGTTTGCCAGTGGTAACTGAATATACTTAGTAAGCGCATCTGAAAAAGTCACATTGGCTATTGCCAGGTTTCGAAGCCGGGATGATCACATGCATGAAGAGCGGATGGTTTGACTTTCGGACCACCACGCCAGTAATTTATAGTACGTTTCAGTAATTTTTACCTACCTATGCTCCTGTCTGCTTTTTATTGTATTTTGTATTATATGATAACTTGACTCTTTTTACTTTTCAAAACGTATTTGTTTTTTTAATGGAACAAGCCCGCCGCAACCTCCCAAAACCAACGCAACTCCTGTAAGCTATGATCTACAGTAGATACAACCATGAAAACACCGGAACACTGAAGTCCGGCGCGTCCCAGGGACATGAATGACTGTCTTGGATCCGGAAACGAAATAAATCAGAAGATATTATTAGAGGAGAAGAAAAAACGAAATAATTTCCTCTTCCCTCGGTAAATTTAATGCAGGAGACAGAATGACTTAGGCCTTAAAGGCACAGAAGAGACAATACAACTGGAAGAAGCCCAGTCACCAAACACCACGGAAATTTTTGTATTTTTATTGTAATGAGACCTATGTGTGAGCTGCTATAGTTGTTTCTAGTAATAGGGAACTTCACCGGATGAGACATTTAAATTATCCAACTTAATATTACGTTCGTATTGCCAGAGACTACACTCCCAAAGTATATGATGAGCCGACTGCTCGTCGAACATGTGCACCATGGGGAGTCAACCAGTTTAAATGAAAATGATTTGCTTTTTAAGTTGCCATGACCCGTGAGAAACTGGGCTACACAATGATCTACCTCCAACTATGTCTTCTCCAGCCGTTCTTGTACGGATGGAAAAAACTGATAGAGGTGCCCTTGATAAAAGATTACCATCTACACTGCCATTCAGTAACAATCTCATCCCAGACGTCCGCAAGTGGCTTAAACAATCTTGCAATTTTGTTCAGATTGCGTTGTCAAGAAAATTTGCAGATAAGTTTTGTCTCGCATTGTATTACATAGCAGCACGTCGCTGCACCTCAGTATTGGCGGGAAGCATCCTGCGGCACGGGTAGGGCCTCAGTGCTAACTGTCCTGTAAGCCTTACATAGAAAAATTAAAGCCAAACGTTGGCCCTGAAGAAGTTTCCCTCGTACCGCACCTATTGTCACCCTATCAGCCCAGACAGGTGACCCGTAGCAAACACATCCTAGGTAGGTAGCTCCGTAGATAGTATTAAGCGTGGGAAAAGAGAGGTCCCATGGAGCTTTCGAGATTCGCGTAAGCGCATAAAAGTTATTTATGGCTTTCTCAACCTAGAGGCTTTTAGGCTTTTCCAAAACCTGAGCGTACGGCGGAACAGGAGAAGGAACGTATTCAGTGTATACACTTTCTAATTATAAGTTTGAAATCGTCAATCCGCCTCGAGCGAGTGTGGTGATTAATGCCCAAACCTTCTCCGTGTGAGTGGAGGCCTTTACTCTGCAGTGTTGTGTGTGTGTGTGCACAGTGTGGGCACTTATAGGCTGACGATATGATGATGTGGTTGAAATTTTTTGTTGCGTTGCGTTTACGAAGCCGCGGATGCTGGTATTTCAAATACCTACCTTATCATTTTTCTAGGTAGACCTATCTCCGATGTATACAGCAATTGGAAGAAAGGCGAGCCGAACAATAAACGTGGCAATGAGGATTGCGTTGCCATTCTAGGCGATGGACTGTTGAACGATTCCGACTGCAACCTTAAGAAACATTTTGTCTGTAAAAAACCGCTTCATTCAGTGCATTGGAATTCGAAATGCAATATGTCGAATTCAGGTAATCTTTTTTTACTTGTATTAACTAAGTTCATTATGACTGCACGGTTGGCGCGATGGTTGAAAAACTGGCTGGAGCGCAACGTGTTGCGAGATCGATTCCCGCACGGAACAACTCTGTGTGATCCACAAATTGTTGTTCCGTGTCTGGGTCTCATTTGTACCTATGTGTAATTGCATGCTTGTAAACGCAGTGGCGACACGTTTTCCTTCAGTTTGCTATTACCTATTGTATTTTTTGTCCTCCAGGTTACACATTTAATGAGTACACTGGTAATTGTTATAAGTTGCACACGAAACCCATGACCTGGTTTGATGCGTATAGGACATGTATCATGGAACAGTCAAACCTTGCCATGATTGACTCTGAGTTACAAAGAAACTTACTTAGGAACCTAACGAAAGACGCCGTGACCATAAGGATTCAGGAGGCTTACCAAAAAGGAATATTTCATTTGGGCTTTCATAACAGATATGATCATGGTTGGGCGACAACTAAAGGTATGTCAATGCTTGTTTTCTTTATTACAATTTACAAATGTGTAGGTAACCTGCTAATGACACTGGACAGGGAAACGATTATGAGGTAAAAATAATGACACTGATACTCTTTTTGGGAGGACAAATCATCAAGTGACTCTCTCTCTCTGACCGCAGCATATGACTGCGCTTTACCTGGAGACCTTGGGCCGGGGACTTGAAGCAAACAACCCCAATAGGTCGGTTTGACTCGAGTGATACCGCGGCCTCACAGAAAAGCGACGTGAAACAACCACAGTTTTGTATTTCGCCGTGTAAATCACGTTACCTAGAATCCCCTCCGGTGTTGCGCAAATGTCCGTGGGCGGCACCGATTGCTTACCATCAAATTCGTATGCTCGTTCGCTTGATAATCGTATCTCAGAAAAAAACATAATGTAGCTACACGATATTTAATTATTAACATTTTGATATTGTCTACAGGAAAACCTCTGGAAATGGTACATGGGAACAACTGGTGGGGCGGCTTCTACCCTGGTGAAGAATGCCATAACAAGTGTGGTGCTATGTTCTATAATGGATACCTGGTTAACATTAATTGCCAAACGAAGAGTTTATTTATTTGTGAACACCAATTAAATAACCAGGTTAAACCGGACACTGTTAGTATTCCTTCGAATTCTATGTAGAAATTTTATCCCTTTAGGTACCTGTTTTGAAATAGCTGTTAGGTACGTGACATGACATAGCACTGATCACCAGAAAACCAGTCTTTTCTGAGGCTTGATTTTACTTCATATTGTCGCTATCAATTAATTACCAAACTTTTAGATAAATACGAATATTTTTTAGATTTTTTTTATTTTTTTACAAATATTTTTGTGATCCACAAATTGTACATCGGGGTCAGCAGTGCTATGCTGTAAATGGTTAATCTCATCTCGAAAGTCGCACACCACTTTGCTTCTCTTCTCACCTGTAGGTACACGAATGTCAAAGAAAGAACAATAAAGATGGCAATGAGAATTGCGTTGCCATTCTAGGCGATGGACTAAAAGTCAAAAAAGTCAAAAATCATTTATTCCAATTAGACCTTTACAGGCACTTTTGAACGTCAAACTAATGGACGATTCCGACTGCACCGATAAGAAACATTTTGTCCGGAAAAAACCGCTTCATTCAGTGCATTGGAATTCGAAATGCAAAATGTACGAGTTTCTGTCAGAAGTCTAAAACGTTTGCAACGCCTTTTTCAAGGCGGCCTGTTTCACTGTTTCTGATCACAGAAAGTCAAAAACGTTGGTATTGGTTTGTTGGTTACGGAGGTAAAGGTAATCTGGTTCTTGAAGGAGGTACGGTAAAGGTTATCTGGTAATAGGTATGAGGTGTGGTGGTTATGCCATAGAATGTAGGTAGGTATGTATGTATGCCGCTATATCACTCCCCCCTAAGCGAAGCGTACGTTTGGTTTCACTGTACGGCCGGTGCGGGTGACGTAGGCGTCGCGGGGTGGGGTGAATGACATTGTCCGTTCGTCGTTACTCGTAGTTGTAGGTAGATAGTTCGATGTTTGTTCGCGCGCAGATGCAGTAGGTACATAGTCTTGCTGTTGGCGCGAAGTCGTAGTAGGTATCTTGTCTTGCTGTTGGCGCGTATCTGATGTTGATAGGGTGTCGTCTTCATTGAGTAAGTATGCTGGTTTGAGTCTGTCTATTGAAACAACTGCAGTACGTGGATACATTTGTATGGTGAAATGTTTGCTGTCGCGCCGAAGTACTTTGTAGGGGCCGTCGTAGGGAGGTACCAGTGGGCTGCGCACGGTGTCATTGCGCACGAAAACATGTGTACACGTAGCAAGGTCTTTGTGTACAAATGACCTTGTGGAGTTTGAGTGTGGCTTGCTGTTCGGCGATAATGTAGACATCGTTTCGGTCAGCTGACGGACGAATTCGGCGTCATCGATGTTCGGCTGAGTAGGCACGAAGAAATCTGATGGTATGCGGAGTGTTAAACCGTAGGTCATGAGTGCCGGGCTGACTTCATTGTCTTGTCGTAATGCTGTACGTAGGCCGAGTAGCACAGTTGATAACTCGTCGCTCCAGTTTGTGCGCGCGCATCTCGCCATGAGTGCTGACTTTAGAGTTCGGTGCCAGCGCTCGACTTGTCCGTTTGAGGGTGGAAAGCAGTAGTGCGTATTCTGTTTATTCCACATTTCTTCATAAGCGCCTTAAACAGTGACGACTCGAACTGTCTTCCTTGGTCGGTCGTCAGTCGAAGCGGGCAACCAAATCTTGATATCCAACCGTCGTAAATAGCCTTGGCGATTGTGTCCGCGGTGATGTCGCGTACTGGTATAGCTTCAGGCCATTTTGTGCAGCGGTCAATCATCGTAACTAGATATCGGTAGTCATTTGACGGCGGCAGAGGTCCCACGATGTCGACGTGAATGTGTTCGAAACGCTGGGATTTTCCGAACTCGCCGAGCGGGCTGATAGTGTGCCGCTGTACTTTCGCTCGCTGACCACCGATGCATGTTCTTGCCCATGTTCCGACTTCTTTGTTCATGTTTGGCCAGAAGAACTTCGTAGATATTATTTTTCTCGTAGTACGCACGCCTGGGTGACTTAAATCGTGTTGCGCTTTGAATGCGACAAAACGATATTTCGCGGGTAAATATGGACGAATGTTGCCTGTCGATGTTTCACAGATAAGCAGACGTTGACCTCCGGGTAGCGAAATACTGGTGAACTGTAGGTTTGGATGTGACATGTATCTCTGTAGTTCTGAATCGTTTTCCTGGTCTTGAGCGAGTTGATTGTAGTCGATGGATGTTTCTGTTAGGTCGATCTCTTCTATGCGTGATAAGGCGTCGGCCGCTTCGTTGTTATCACCGTGTACGTACTTTATGTTTGAACAAAACTGGCTAATGAAGTGAAGTTGTCGTTCTCTTCGTGATGTGTCGCTGGTACTCGGTGATCTTGTTAGTGCATAGGTGAGAGGTTTGTGGTCGGTATATATCGTAAGGTCGTTGCCTTCTATTAACCTACGAAGGTGTTTGACAGAAATGTACATCGCTAATAATTCGCGATCGTACACACTGTAACGTCGCTGCGTCTCGCTCATTGTTTTTGAGAAAAATGCTAGAGGTTTCCACACGTTGTCTACTTGCTGTTGCAGTACGGCGCCGATGCTTGAGTTTGAGGCGTCGGTATATAAGCGTAGTGGCGCGCTATGTATCGGGTGCGTGAGAGTAGTAGCGTCGAGGATGCTTTGTCGACATTTCTCGAAGGCTAGCTCTGCTTCTGGCGTCCACGTTATCGGAGTCTTGTCTTTTTTCTTGGTGTTATGTAGGTATTTATTTAGTTCATGTTGATATTCGGCTTGATGGGGTAAGCAGCTGCGGTAAAAGTTAATCATGCCGAGGAATCTTCTTAGGTCTTGAATTGTTTGAGGTTTTGGGTAGTTTACTATTGCTTGTATTCGGTCTTGAGTGGGTTTGATTCCTTCTGATGACACTTCGTACCCAAGAAATTCGATGTTTTGTTTGTCGAACTCGCACTTATCGATGTTTAGACTGACACCGTAGGTATTTAGGCGTTCGAGTACTATTTCGATGTGACGTCGATGTTCATCTTGATTTTTCGAGTGCACAAGTAGATCGTCGACGAAACAAAACACTATGTCGTCGAGTCCTCGTAGTACTTCGTGCATAAATCGTTGAAATGTTTGTCCTGAGTTTCTTAGGCCGAATGTCATGCAGTTGAATTCGAAGAGGCCAAACGGAGTTATGATTGCTGTTTTCTGTGCGTCTTCTTTAGCGATCGGAATCCAGAAGTATGCCATCTTGAGGTCGAGTTTCGAGAATATTTTCTTGCCGTGAAGTTGGTATGTAAAGTCTTGTATTGGAGGTATAGGGTAGCGGTCGGGTACTGTAACAGCGTTTAGTCTTCTGTAGTCGCCGCAGACTCGAAGTGAACCATCTTTTTTCTTGACGACGTGCAGTGGACTCGCCCAAGGACTGTTAGAGGGTCGGCAGATACCCATCTCGATCATGCGCTCGAACTCAAGTTTTGCCGCCTTGTATCTGTCGGGCGGTAGGGGTCGCGCTCGTGAGTATATAGGCGGTCCGGTTGTCTCAATGTGATGTGTGACGTCATGTTTCACAGGAGTCTTCAATGTCATAGGTCGCAGAACATCAGGATATTTTTTCAGTAGGTCGTGATAAGCGTGATCGCGGTTGACCATGTAGACAGTGTCTTGCTCGGTGCCGTTGATCTTGATCGCGTTTACGCTAAGTTCTGTGATGCGGTCGATGAGTTTTCTCTGATGCAGGTCGACTAGTAGTTGGTGATGTACTAGGAAGTCTGCGCCCAGTATCGATGTATTTACGTCGGCCACGACGAATGTCCACCTGAATCGTCTTCGTAAGCCTAGGTTGAGCTCGAGTGTGCGCTCTCCGTAGGTACGAATCTCGGTGCCGTTGGCCGCGAACAGTTTGTATGAGGTCTTCGCTTGATATGTTTTTTGTTTCTTGCTGATAGGACTGATATGTCTGCTCCCGTGTCAACAAGAAATTTCTCTCGGAGGTTGATGTCGATGATACATAGTCGGCGGCTGGTTTGGTTTACATCGACGCCCGCCAACGTCGATGTACTTTCTAGTTTTCCCGCTTTTTTGAACACGGCGATTCGCATTTGCGTGCTTGGTCGCCGAATCGGTAATGGTAGCGACATACCCAATTCGGGTCGCCGGGCTTGATGTTACTATGCTGTCTGGATCTTGAATGGGAGCGGGAACGGTTGCGGTGTGAAAAGCGCGGGAAATGTCGGTGGTTTTGCTGGTTGGTACGGAGTTCGGTGATTTCAAGTGATAGCTTTTCTATTTGTTTCGACAGAAAGGCGATTTGAAGGTTCTCTTGACACGTTGTTGCTGTGGAGACCGCGTTGATAGAAGCTGGCTCGAAATGCTCCATCATTTTGTCAGCCATTACGGCTAGCATCTCAAGTGATGATTCTGTGTTGACGGAGAGTACGGCGCGTATTTGAGCTGGCAGTTGATTTAGCCACATTACTTTAAGTGCCTCGTCGGACAGGAGTTTGCCGCTGAGGTCGCGCATCTTCCGTAGTAGCTGACTCGGCTTTTGATCGCCGAGCTAGAGACCACTCAGCAGTTTCTGTAGCTGGCGATGGTCAGACTCTTGATATGTGGAGATCAGCCGTTCTTTTAATGTACTGTACTTGCCGGACGCTGGGGGGTTTAATATGATGTCGGCGATCTGTTCAAGGTCGCTGTTGCCGAGCAATGGTACGACGAGGTTGAATTTCTGCTCTTCTCCTATTTTGCTGGCGGCGACAGCTGCCTCGAATTGCGCAAACCATAGGCGGGGATTTTGGCGCCAAAATGGTGGCAATCTAGCGGGCAGGGATATTGTCGCCACGTCGCTCTTCACTGTCGTCACGCCGTGGGCGTCGCTGAATTCTTCGCTTGTCATATTTCTTCTGACTTGCAGGGATTTTCCTTCTTGATGTTATTTAGTGTTCTTTCTTCTCAGGAGGGTCACCAATTTAGGAGTGAGAGCAGGGTTTCTTCTTATTAGTGAACTCGAGGCTGTCGTGGTTTGGAATGATTTATTCGGCTACATATCCCTACTTATATTTACATGTCTTATGGCTAACTTATACACTATCACACATATGTAAATACAATTGACCAATAGCAGCGCGCGTTCGTCGCAAGGCTCGACGGAGCGGCTGCGCGCATGCGCCGTCGCGTTCGCCGTTCGTCGCGATGTCGCGAGCACAGCGCGAGGCTATAATAGGGCGCGTGCCGCGTGACGCGTCCTTTCGCTCCGGTGCCGCCGACGACTACAGACGTGTCCAGTGTCGTGGACCGCAACTTCGTGCCTCCGTGTTCTTCGGGCTTCGCTTCTGCTTGCTTGCCTGCTTATTTGCTTGCTCATTATATTTTTAATCTTTTTTTACTTGTATTAACTAAGTTCATTATGACTGCACGGTTGGCACGATGGCTGAGCAACTGGCTGGAGCGCAACGTGTTGTGAGATCAATTCCCGCACGGAACAACTCTGTGTGATCCACAAATTGTTGTTCCGTGTCTGGGTCTCATTTGTACCTATGTGTAATTGCATGCTTGTAAACGCAGTGGCGACACGTTTTCCTTCAGTTTGCTATTACCTATTGTATTTTTTGTCCTCCAGGTTACACATTTAATGAGTACACTGGTAATTGTTATAAGTTGCACACGAAACCCATGACCTGGTTTGATGCGTATAGGACATGTATCATGGAACAGTCAAACCTTGCCATGATTGACTCTGAGTTACAAAGAAACTTACTTAGGAACCTAACGAAAGACGCCGTGACCATAAGGATTCAGGAGGCTTACCAAAAAGGAATATTTCATTTGGGCTTTCATAACAGATATGATCATGGTTGGGCGACAACTAAAGGTATGTCAATGCTTGTTTTCTTTATTACAATTTACAAATGTGTAGGTAACCTGCTAATGACACTGGACAGGGAAACGATTATGAGGTAAAAATAATGACACTGATACTCTTTTTGAGAGGACAAATCATCAAGTGACTCTCTATCTCTGACCGCAGCATATGACTGCGCTTTACCTGGAGACCTTGGGCCGGGGACATGAAGCAAACAACCCCAATAGGTTGGTTTGACTCGAGTGATACCGCGGCCTCACAGAAAAGCGACGTGAAACAACCACAGTTTTGTATTTCGCCGTGTAAATCACGTTACCTAGAATCCCCTCCGGTGTTGCGCAAATGTCCCACCGCGGGCGGCACCGATTGCTTACCATCAAATTCGTATGCTCGTTCGCTTGATAATCGTATCTCAGAAAAAAACATAATGTAGCTACACGATATTTAATTATTAACATTTTGATATGTCTACAGGAAAACCTCTGGAAATGGTACCTGAGGAAAACTGGTGGGGCGGCTTCTACCCTGGTGAAGGATGCCATAACAACTGTGGTGCTATGTTCTATAATGGATACCTGGTTAACATTAATTGTCAAACGAAGAGTTTATTTATTTGTGAACACCAATTAAATAACCAGGTTAAACCGGACACTGTTAGTACCTATTCCTTCGAATTCTATGTAGAAGTTTTATCCCTTTAGGTACCTGTTTTGAAATAGCTGTTAGGTACGTGACATGACATAGCACTGATCACCAGAAAACCAGTCTTTTCTGAGGCTTGATTTTACTTCTTATTGTCGCTATCAATTAATTACCAAACTTTTAGATAAATACGAATATTTTTTAGATTTTTTTTATTTTTTTACAAATATTTTTAACCAACTTCAAAATTCTTCCCAATTCGATGAGTATTTTTTTTTATGTATGTACACCGATTACTCGAAGACGCCTGGACCGATTTGCAAAATTTTTTTTTTTATTCGATAAGGTGTACTTGCCATTTGGTCCCATTGTCATGAGGTCAGGACCTGATGATGGAATCCTGGAGAAACCGAAGGGAACTTTCGAAAATTGTAGGGGCGAGTAGTTTTTTTGTATGATGTTTAAGTAGGCCTTTAACAACACTACAACTTGACGAAGGTCAAAGTCGACCAGATGTTGGAGCTGGAAGACAGTCGAGGGATCTCCTTGACTATTTGGAGTAGTTGCCTTGTGTTTGGGTTGAATGATTCGTATTGGGGAGCACTTTGCACCAGGCTTGGTCGTAACTGTCATTAAGGGTCTGATGATGAAGACGAAGGACAGCCTAAGGAACTCCTCAACGGTTTACAGTAGCGACCTCGTGTTTGGACTTAATTTATTTATATTGATAAGAACTTTCCCTCTAGAGAGGTGGCCTGTGTCCTGTGACCCAGTAGTGGGAACATTAAAAAGGCTGATGATGATGGTGATGAGAACTTTCCCATTTCTTGGGATCTATATTTTTTAATAGAGCGGCTACTTTCGCAAGCCTGTAGGTACCTACATAGCTACTTAAAAAAATATATACTATTCAATATGTTAATTTATATTTAAAATGTTACTGTAGTTTACAGAAGAACTTTAACAGACACTAAAAAGTAAAAAATAAAAAAAAAACTACGTTTAAAAAAACCGACTTCAAAAACAAAACAGTGTCAAATAATTAAAATAGATATTTTAATACCACTCTTACGTACGCGAAGCTAATACTTTTAATATTAATAATAAAACACTATCAATTCTATGTGCTACCTATTCATAGGTTTGAAGTCGGTGCCAAGCCCTAAACAGAATAAAACTAAATGAGAATTAAGACTGTTTAACTGCTAAAGGACGAAATTTCCACAACCAACAACGAAGCTACCAACTAATACTTTTAACAACCCACGAGTTACGCTTAGTACGAGAAAACTTTTAGAATTCATAATTCACCCGAATATCTTTCTAAGCTATATATAATTTCGCATGTAACGAAACAATATAGACTTCTGATTCTACGCTAAGGCCATCAATCAAATGCTTATTATATTATGTATTAGGCTTGGCACCGACTTTAAACCTAAGAATAGGTAGCACATAGAGTAGATAGTGTTTTATTATTAATATTAAAAGTATTAGCTTCGCGTAGGTACGTAAGAGTGGTATTAAAATATCTATTTTAATTATTTGACACTTTTTGTTTTTGAAGTCGGTTTTTTTAAACGAAGTTTTTTTTGTGATCCTCAAATTGTACATCGGGGTCAGCAGTGCTATGCTGTAAATGGTTAATCTCATCTCGAAAGTCGCACACCACTTTGCTTCTCTTCTCACCTGTAGGTACACGAACGTCAAAATACTCACTTGTTTTTAGTTCCTTACACTTCGTTATTCACATGGTGGCGCATGTATGTAGGTAATTTTACTTTTACGTTATAAGATACTAGTTACTCCTGCACGGCTCTCACTGCTCGGCTCCATTTGGTTGTAGCGTGTTGTTTTATAGCCTATAGCACTCGGGAAAATTGTAGCTATCAATAAGTGAAAGAATTTTGGGAATCCAACCAGTGGTTCCAAAGATTACCCCCTACATACAGACTTACAAACATACAAACTTACTAATTTTACCTCTTTATAATATTAGTATAGAAAAGTAAAGAATAATAATTTTGATCCAACAGACAAACTATCTAGATAGTATGTGTTGTTGGTCGTTATGTAGGTACACGTTAGAAGACGTAAAATGTACATTTTTGTGACTACCGCATAAAAACGCAAGTGGTGTGGGTTTGAGCTTACAAAACGCACATTTGAATAATAAATAATAATAAATAAAATAAAAATTGTTTATTAGAAAAAACCAAAAACTGTACAAACATAGTATTTAAGTTTGAAGCCTCCATGCCTGTATTAGGAGACTCCGCTCTTAATAATTCTATATATATGTATTTATTTATGGCATTGTAAAGCTGGGCCGATCGTTTCCGGTATCGAATGCTGGCAAATAAAGTTCTACTTTGTGGTATTTCTAATATAATATCTTTTCTTCTTCTTAACAATATTCTAGAATCAAGTTCACTAATTTGATATAATTCTTCTGTACAATGGACTTAACCACGATCGTAATTCAAAACTATAAAATTAACAACTCCCCCATACATAATAACATAAAATGAAGAATTATTTCATACCTATTCTGTTTATTTTTGTAGATAGCAATCGAAATCGAAATTTATTATTATTATTTTTTTTAATTCCAGACAAGACTACCCGAAGAAGGGCTTGGACCACGCGAAAACGCCGTTTACTGATGAAATAAGTACACACCTACTATATAAATATTTCTTTAATGCTTATTTTTTTAATATTAATTCGCACTTTTCCCAGAGCTGAATACACTTACATATACACAACCACAATATCAAGCTTTTTTATTTCTTTTTCCTTACAAATATATATACCCTATTATTGTTTTGTTTCTCAATAACTACTCTCGCGCGGTTTCTCCCGCTGCTCGGCTCCTACATATGGCAGCGTGATGTTTTATACTTAGTCTAAAGCCTTCCTCACTAAATAAATGGTCTATTAAACACAAAAATATTTTTTCGATTCGAACCAGTACCTAGTTCCTGAGAATAGGGCGTTCAAACAAACAAACTGCAGCTTTATAATATTAGGTATGTACCTAGTATAGATTGTTTAATTCGTACTTTTCCCAGAGCTAGAATAAAGGATAACCAATGATAACGTAAAAAGGTGTGGATAGATTACAAGCGCTCAGCAAGTGATACATTGAAAGGTAGCTAACTAGCCTCACTTTTCATATTTGTCTCTTTTCACTCGCGATTGTTGAATCACGCCATCCCACTTTGACGTCTAATCATACGAATTGTTCCTGTGTGCATCAGTGTGCCGTTTTTGAAAATCGAATGTTGTTTATGTACCTAACCTATCTACACCATTTTACTTATAATATCATTGCCCAATACACTTACATACCACAACCACAAACCACGGTGTCAAGCCTTTTTATTTCTTTCTTTTCACAAAAATAGCATCTGCCAGCTTTTGTCAAATTCAAGCTACAACGTTTTTTAATGTAGCAACGTATTATCCAACCGAGGACTTAAATAACGAAATATTCAAAAAAAGAAGTTTGCATAATATACCAATACTTCTTTCTCTACGAAGGTAGACTAAATATTATGAATAGCGGCTACAGAAACCGCTTCTGTGACTATACAACCAACGAGTAGACCCTTAGTGAAATGAAAACTGGGAGAGCCATGCTTCAGCATGAATGGGTCGGCTCGACCGTAGTGATACCACGACCTCACATAAAACCGGAACAAGCACAGCGTTGTGTCGTTGTGTATCCTTCCCCTCCCCCGATCCCTGCCCAATCTCTTAATCTCCAAAACCCTAATCCTTAAGAGGTCGGCAACGCACTCGTAACTCCTCTGTTGCGGGTGTCCATGGGTTTCGCTGATTGCTTACCATTAGGTAATCCGTCTGCTCGTTTGCCGTAGACTGGCAAACGACACACATACATAAAAAAATAAGGATTAAATTTCACATTAAATGTAATTAACTGAAATAAAAACAATTCTACAACGCATTGAGACATCAGTTCCCAATTTGGTTCCTAAGAGTATGATGTAGGGTATTATTGAAGTTCTTTTGATAATGAAATAAAAGACAGAAAATATTTTTTATAATTTTATCTTGAGGTGTAAGTTTATTCGCATTTAACAATGTTTCATACAAATTTCCTCATTTTGTACACACCTTTCTTGGTTTTTGTTTTGTAGTTATTATCTTTTATAAAAGTTGTTTCTCTAAATTTTAACATGTCGTCATGTCTGTTCCCTATATCTAATTCGCTTCACCACTGTTGTTAAACCATGTATTATTAACAGAGGATTTACTAAGGCAAAGTATTAAGAGGAAAGTAAAATAGTTACTGCGGACTAATAGATTGAAGAAATAATAATTATACAAAATTATTGTGTTTCGATGAACACGGAATGGGCCCTTATCTCGTAATATCAGCCTTCCCATCGTTCGACGTGGCACTATACTGTGACAGAGTCGGCTCAGCGAGGCAGCGGTCGGCCCCTGCCTCTACGTATTACTAGACATTGCACACATCGCACTGGTATCAATGGACTCCAAGCCAGTCCACAAGGCTGCCAGTTACATCTAATAAGAAAATTCGTTACTAAATAACAACTAAATCACTTTAAAATCAATTCAAAATGTACATTATTCATCTTAACCACGTAAACAAATCTAATCTGCTACAAAAAATTAGCAAATTTAAATACAAAGATCGCCTAGTCCGTCTATTATAAAATTAATCACTTAAGTATTAGAAAAACACAATAGTGAGAGTGTATGTTGCGATGCAACTCACTTGTGATATCGTTTATTATGCCTTCTAGTGTACATTCAACGAATGAATAGTGAAACAAATAGCGTTGACACATTAAAACTAAAAAAATGACTGTACACGTTATATTTAATATGTAAATATTTGTACATATTGCACTCTGAAGTAACAAATTATTAAGAAACATCTGTCGAAACGAAGAATATATACGCAGAACAAAAAATATCTCAGTAAATACAAATTCAAAGTAAATAGCAATCACAATGTTCGTAGCTCGTACACTTATCTAAGTCCCTATGGCTTACAAAGCTTACAAAAGATAAATACAGAGGTCATTTACAAAAAATATACTTCTACCCAAATAATATAAAAATAACAACAGCCATCTGTACTTTCTTAGATGAATAAAATTAAACGTACATATGTCAAACATATGACAATAGAATCTAAAGGTACCTATGTACAAAGTTTAATGGACACAGTAGATTATATCGAATCCACCATATATTATTTATTAGACTGGACGTGCCACGTTTGGTCACTACAATACTCAGTGCTTCCGAACAATATCAACTAAAGTATAGATCAAAAGGCATGAAGAAGGTATCAGCTCGTCGGCTGTGAAGTCGGTCCAGTCTCCCCGCACACCCGCTGCTTGCAACTGTCGCATCGTCTCCCACAACTACATCTCATCTCGTAAACTCGTCAAGCGATATAAACTTATTATCTTACTAATGTTCCATTATCAGCTAAGACACAAATTATATTAGGGTATCTCATTATTTATTACTTTCTCATGTGAGATTATTACATACTTAATAAATCTATTACAATTTCGAAATTGAATAATATGTATCAAATACGACCGGCTGTGCACCGACAGAAGCCGAAATCTAACAAGCTATTTATGAAACTACGCGTCGAATGATGTATAATAATTACTTATCGAATGGCAGTTATATTTGTCACAAACTTGAGATGCAACGTACTCACGACCGAGCCCGCGGTGGCACTCGCGCTGTGTTCAAGGTCCCTCGCGGGTTCGCTTGTCGTGCACCTCAGTCATAAGGCAACGTATCGTAGCGCTAGTTTCAATGAATGTTCATTCCTATCACCTACAGTTCACAACAGAAACATATTCATCAATAGAAAACCCGCTATAACACGCATACAAGATCGCACCATGCAATAATTATACGATTATAATGGCAGTGTGTTTGTTATCAATACGCCCCTATTACACCAGAGACACTTAAGACACTCTAGTGACGTTTGTGCTTCGTTTGCTATTTTAGAAACGCCTAATGCTACAATAAAATTATACAATGTTAATCGAAAAGATCGTTTTAAGCGGCCTAGCGCGCGGTCCGCGGTGCAAGCCCGATCGTCTCACACTGATTTTATACGTATATTAAGAAATGCATTTCCAAAACTCCAAACACATGTTATTATGTAAATATACAACACACTTAATGGCATGTAAAGAAGACACATTCAACACGCACCAAACAGACACTTACGTTACTTATTTATCGATAAATGGATGGTGAAGTATCGCTCGGTCGCGGGTCTCGCGAGCTGTGACATGGAGATGAACGTTACACGCGGCGTTGGTGGTTTAACTATGAATATTGCGAACAACAGAAGGCTTCGAGACGGACGCTGTACAGAAGTATGAACGAGCGATGCGCCGTCGACACAAGCATACAAGGATGAACCGACACGACGCGAAACGCCAAGAACGGAAAACACGTCTAACGTATTCTTTAAAAACGCTTACCGGTAATTGAGATCGATTAATTTTATGTTCTATATACTACGATTTGTCGTCAACGATGTAGGTACACAACACAGGTAACGCGAAATAAGGCATTTCGTATAGGAGTCATCGCTTTACGGCAGTATTTAGGTGTCGAACGTGTGTAATATTGTGTTGCTATTGCTACGACGAGGTTCTTAGTGTATGTGACGCCGGCAGACAGGCTCGGCGTCGCCGGGACCGCGTTGCGTGCATGCCATCTACCAACATGATACACTTTAGTGTCTACTACACCAATATTGTTCCCATAGAGTAAGCTCGGCCAAATCGACACTACTTCACTATTACTTTTTATATTCAAGCCATAGAATAGAGGTAATTCAGCTGCCATTTTGTACTTTCATATAATATACATAGAATTAAGTAAAGGAATGTTGTATCTAAACAATAAAAATAAATACTTACAAAGATTAATGTTTAATTTTAGGCTCTACCGTTATTATTCCATACCTACGTTACAGCTGCCTTAGGACATGCACGCAATGGCAGGTCCACATAACAAGTAGATCGGCTTTATACTCATATCTAAGGAGAACAAATAACTGGGATTCAGCCGAACCTGTCTCCGTATACTTAAGCGTAATGTGACACAAATAGACTATTTCACGTACGTCTAGTTAATTTATTGTATGATTATGAAAATAACCTTAAATTGCACTGACATTGAATTGTTACTGGCTTCAGTATCTACGTTTTAAGAGTTAACAGTATGGTGTATCGTTTAGATACTAAAGTCGTGTGATATTAGTCGTAGTATGGTGAATGTACATCGATTATTATTATATTATTGCGGGCCGAGTGTCCATGTCAATTAAACACTGAAAGTAAATAGAGGCTTGCATGTGTGGAAGCTATCAACGACACACAGCTTGTATTGTAATAAGACGCACTTACATCAGCCTACGGTAGATCAACATGTCATAAATGTAATCACAGCAATAAATTATAATTAGTCATTTAGTCGAGGGACGCGGGCACAGGACGATGGAACATGAATTGGAACTAAATCGACAGGACACGATAACACGCCTCACATCAACTATAATATACAATACCGTCAACGTATCTTGGCGAGTCTGAAGTTAGCCGCTGCGCAGTACACAATTTTGTTACTAAAAGATCCATTGCGCAGACAAACGGCTAACTTCAGACTCGACAAGATACGTCGGCCGTACTGTAAGCCAAGTGGTCGCAGACTACTCGACACAACACAGTCGACACCCCAGTGGGGCAGACGTATTGTACATTTTGGTAAATAAACATAATATAACTTTTTACCCAATAGAAACATCTTTTCATATATTACTTTGTCTCTAATAACTCTCGTAACGTATGTACGTATGTGTAATTTAGGAGGTGTACTTATCGAACGAAGTCTTATCATACAGTCGTATCCGAGTGACCAACTCAGTATCCAGTCGAAAACGAAATAAAGTTGGGGCCGCGGCGGGCGCCGGTCGAGCTGCCGACCGGCGGCGGCGCGGGCCCGTAACGATCAACACTAATATATATTCTCCAAACGTTCAACAACACATATATTCACTAATCTCTCGCACATCATCGTCGTCGGTCACCGAATACGTACGAAATCGGGTACAGGTGTACCCTCTTAAGTGGTAAAATTCGCAGTCCTTATAAATAGGTTGATCACGTCCGACGTCAGTGTCCGTGCACTTCACTAAAACTAGCCAGTCTATGAGCGTTCTCTCCTGAGGGCGGCGGGCGCAGGCTACACGTGGCCGGGTCCCCGCCGGGGCCCGGGGGCCCTCGGGAGGCCGGGGGCCCGCTGGGGCCGCTGCGGCCGCGAGCGGCGCGGGGGCTAGAGCGCCGCGGTTTCCGACACGACGGCTGCCGACGGGGCCGCGGTGGACACGTCCGCCACGTCCCAGATCTCCTCGAGGAACGGCGGCAGCTTCCTGTTCTTCAGCTTGAGTGAGATGCACATGTTGGAGTTCTGCATGCCCAGGGTCCGCAGCTCCGTCAGGATGCCGAGGATCTTGCCGTAGATGACAGGGCAGCGCGGCGACGCACTGTTCTGGTTCAGGATGTACACCCGCAGCGTGTTCAGGTAATATCTCTGGATCTCCTCCACCAACAGGGGTTGCTCAAGCCCGGGTCGGTCTGAAAAAACATGATGAATTTTTGAAATGGGTATTGTATTGACAGCATACATTTTATTACATTATTGGATGCAGAATGCTGATCCTTACTAATAAAAAACATCTTCATTTTTAATGCGTTCAAAAGCAATATTATAATTCAACTTACCTGAGAAAATGACGATGGCAGTGAGCAGTGCATAGTGGACGTTATCCATCATCATGGAGTACATGCACCGGCAGAAGTGCAGCAGGTCCTCGATGACGTAGGCCATGCCTGCCTTGCGGTAGTTGTCGCGGGTGTACGCCTGGTTGTTGGCGAACAACACGCTGTCTGTCGCCGCGTCGTACCGCCGAGCTACTCGCAACATCATCACCTCACTCGAACAGGCCTGACGAGTTAACCACATATAATAATTACACATATAGTTTGTACAAAATAATAACACAAAAAATGTCTTATTGTTTTAAGGCTTGGTTTTTATTAGTGGTAGCAATCGGTACCTTTAATAATGTGATCTGATCCGACTGTGAGATCTTTGCGAAGCCTGGTAGGCCCTTAGCGAATTCAACAATGAGCTGCACTGTGAGGATCGTCATCTCGGTGATCTGACGGAACGGCATGTCCGACTCTTCTTCGTCTTCATCCGACTGCCAGGTCTGAAAGTGATAGATATCATTAACGATATAATACAGAATAAAACAAGAATGTTACTGAGGCTGTTCAACAAAACTGTTACGTCATCAATGAAAATAAAATAAAACTTAGTACTTGGTTAGTGGTAAGTACTAATTTGAAAAAAAAAATGACGTTATTACTCATAGCTTTTACAAAGCCATGGTTTGTGATTGCCAATTGTGTACAGTAAAATTCTTATTTTATTAAATTTTGAAATAAATAAAAATAATTGTAGGTATGTAGGGATTGTGATAATGATGTTGCACTGCCAAAAGCTGCTCTCTATTTATTTGTTAATGATGTAATTCTGAATGAATAAAATATGAACCCGGAATACGTGGGTTCCAGGCATATTCGTTGGTTTTACATACTTTATTTAAGTAACAGACGAGAAAGTAAACTTTGTTTTATGTAAGTTTGAGCAAATATTTGGAAGATATTTGTGTATGTATGTAGTAAGCAATTTTGAACTTTAAGATAAATTTAGTTAAGTCACTTAAACAAGAAATAAAGTGCGGTTGTGATCTTTGGTAGTTGTTCAAAACTTAATAGTGGGTCTTATTAAAATAAACGATTTGATAAATTTCTTTTTTAATTAAAATAATGTTTTATTTTATACAATATTGTTTTTTACAATGACAAAAAAGGAACAGAGAGTCAGCTTCTGCAGAAACAAAACAAAAAAAAACATTTAAGTGAATTACCTGTGTGACTCTTTTTAGATCCTCTTCTGATGGCTGTTCATAGCCTTCTTGGTACCAGACCAGCCTCGCTATTAAGGACTTCTGGTTGGCAGTGAGGGGGGGCACATTCTTGAGCCTGTTCTGTTCCATTAGCTTTTCATTCAGGAATCGTGGCACCACCTCGTGCTGCAAACATTCCAGCTTCACGTAGGAAACCGCCGGGTCATTATTTGCTTCAAATATTAGGTGTGAGGGAAACTAACTTTGAAATTGATGTTGATTTTGTGATGGTTTTGGAGACTAATGTTGATTTAAGTGTTATTTGAGGAATGGAACGGTGTCTTAGGAATGGAATGGAGACAATGAACTTATTGAACATTTTATTAAACTACATGTGGATTTGGAAGGTGTGTTCTTTTACTATGGACTTGTTTCAAACGTATTGTGTTCCTATTTGTTTCTTGGGAAGGTTTAGTTTCCTACACTGCATGCATGAGGTCATGGTAATACAAGAAGCAAAAGACATGTAGCGGGGATGTTCGTCCCGCGAGCGACAGTGACATTTTCCATTTACATTTCAAATAAAAGCTAACGATTACAATTCATAAAACCCCACAGCGGTCTCACACAAACATGAATAATGAAGCAGAATTCCATTAATTTTGCTTTAATATTCCAGATAACATTACAAAAACATGGCGACAATATTCCAAAACTGAAGATGGAGTTTGGATATCATTGAAATGTCTACAACCGGTGATGGCGTATAGTGATTTAGAGGTAAAATATTTGCTTAACAAAAGTTAACGATTAATGAAGAATAATATGTGTAGTGAACTTACAATTCTTGCGGCCTCTGGAGGCGGTGGATCACACTGCATAATGGGAGGCATGTGATCATCCACTGTCGTTGTACTGACTGGCAACTTGTCTTTTTCCCTTTGTGCCTTTTTCTCTTTCCTTTTCATTGCACACTGGTTTTCTGGCACCACACACTCAGGCCTCATGCCCACCGCCAGACATTTCTTCAACCGACACTCTTGACATTTTCTTCGCATATACATATCCATCTCACATGCGTGCCCGAACTTGCATATGTACACTGCATTTTTGGTTACGCTCCGCCTGAAGAATCCTGCAATTGGCAAAATCACCATTATTAACATACTGTACGTACAACATTTCCAAATCGAAAGATTGCCTTTAAAACAATGCAAGATGCCGTTTTGCAGAACCAGGTTTTAATGATAAAGTAATGGACTCATCAATGTAAGGTCGCCTGAAAGACGAGGGTCATTGACAGTAGCACGGACGCCGATTTTATTACAAAACAAACAAGATAGATAGCTCTCAAATGACTTGAATTGAACGTAATTGGTATGAGCAAGGTATGAGCCTTTACAACATGGGCAGATTACAGTCGCACTCGAGGTTTATTCAGTGATCTGATTTAAATAGGCATATTTATTCTCGGGTCGACAGTGAAGGTTGGCGGAGACGTACGGAGATGTCCGATAGGCGACTGTGACTCGTGAAGTAGACGCCCTGCAGACAGCTATTGTGACGACTAACTGTCTGTTCATGCACGCGCAGCTCATAACAACCTCGGCACAATGCGCCAATTTAAAGCTGAATTGGCACATTCGTGGGCGAGCCACACAAGGGCTGTGTATGTGTAGATTGTGTAGTAACATCTAGGTTAGCAGCGCACATGACCTAATTGCGTGCAAAGTTCCGAAAACATTTTTGCTGATGTATTTGTTATGTTAAGCAACCATCTTTTGGGTGTGTATATTCGGTATAGTATAGAGTATAGTAAGAATAACGGTACGTTACCTTTACACCCTTCACATGTGAGCGCATTGTAATGATATCCGGAGGCTCTGTCGCCGCAGACGAGACATAGCTCCTCTTGTTGCCGCGGTGCTGGGCCTTTCTTCTGCCGCCTCGCCTCGCCATCCGTACTGCAGCCGTTAATACTTGAAGCCGGAGACAGTTCCTCACGACCTAAGAACAAAAACAATTCATATTTAACTTATAATGAAAATGCAACTGCGTAGTAATAAAGATACTCGAGTCCGGTGGCCGTGCGGCGCCGTGCCGAGAACATCTAAAATCGGACGCTATAAAATTTGCATACATTTCATGAACCATTTGTCGTGTCGGCGAGCGAATGAAGTTCATTTTATTTTTCGTTTTTACATTCGAGGCGATGGTACTTCGTCGAAGAGTTGTTTTCGAAACGAAATACTCGCAAGTAATTTTCGGCAGTAGCGTGGACATTTCCTGTCTAAACAAAGGTGGCTAGAGCGAACTCCGCATACTGATGAGCTCCAGTATTCAGTATTGGTATTCGAGCGGCGCGGGAGCGGGGAGCAATGCGCGTTGGAAATGTAATCGGCAATTGTCAATCACGCAGTCGGAACTCCATAAAAAGTAACGATGGAATTGTTAATAAAAACTCCTCGACATCGTGCTCGATCTTACCACTATTGCTAGCAACTGACAATTATGGTTAGTACGTTTAAAATTTTCATTAAGGATTTATCAAAAAATGTAATGCTAAAACAAAAATGTTACCATTTGTATTTCGACGCCTTAAATGTACAAATAAAGCTTAATTTGTTATGGGAGGGTAGATAAACAAACACCAATGATGAAGGCGACCACGTACCTACCGCCCTAGTGTATTAACCAGGGGTCCATTTAAGCTTCTCCTCATTAATTTTATTTACGTTTTATGGTGTCCATTAAGCGTCGCGGCCGTGGGTCGGTGGCCGGAGCCGCATGTACCTGCGTTACGCAACCGGCCGAAATAGCCGCTGCCAAAAAACTAGTTCCACGTGGGATCCGAGCCAGCGCGAGCGGCAAGTTTCGCAGAATGCTTACCGCTCAAATACACTCATCTAAATGACCCGAAAACCTCGTATTACGGACATATAATAATTCTATTAAAAGCTTCAATGATGTTTGCGTAGGAAATATTCGTGATCTATCATTGATGACATTGTAAACATGGACGACTACGATAGGCTAGATGAGATCTGCTTGCGTTTCATCCAATGTGTGCCAATTTTATCTATTAACTTCACGGTGATTGCTGAAATTATGTATCGTGCATGGCGGGCCGCAATAATTCACTCGATAAAAATGTCTCAATAAAGAGGTCAAGTGCGTCGTTTTATCGCAATGTTATTTACATCGACGTGATCACCAACTGGTCAGTACATAGTACATATCTTTACACACAGTATATACACTGACCTACGCACTGTATAGGTATATACAGGATATTTAGACATGCAGGAAAACCATAGCTGTTATTTGCCTACATTTAGTGTTGAATAATAGTACCGTTAAATTGCTTTCGTAATTTACTACTTGTTCTATTAATCAAGGTAATAAAACTGCATTTTTGTCTCGATGCCCTACAAATGGACTTTTCTTAAATATGTACTTAACCGCCGTTTGGGGTGAGCATTGGCCGAAGCGACACAAAACTTGGCTCACCTTCACAGTTGCTTCCTATTAAGATTGACGACCGCCTGACTGTTCATTTGGTCATTCAAATCTTAAAGTAGATTAGAATAATCAAATAACGATTTATAATGACGCAAGATACATAACGACTGGTAAAGAATTAAATTGGTGAAAGTAGTTTGTGATAAAAAAAGAACTAAACCAGTTTACAAAATGTCAAAATAATATTTAAGCCACGCAATATAAGTTTATTAACGAATGCCAATATAATTTAGAAGATCTCGTCGTGTTATAGTGTAGACGTAACTAAACTTATAGACGTAATTAGTGGCACTATCAAATCACTGCCCGTGAAAAAGAAAGCTAATCAAAAGTTGAATGCACGGATGACCGAGTCAGTGTGTTATGTTATTACGTCTCAGCTGTTCAGTGTGTTGCGCTCGCGCATTGGAAGGTCTAGTTCGTGGCAGATCGGCGACGCTCGGGCGCGGTCGGGTGTGCGAGCGAGAGGCTCTTGAAGAGCGACAAGTGGGGCGCGATCGTCGACCGGGGGCAGCGTGCGGCCTTGACTCTTGCGTTCCCCCTTCCCCACTTCCTCGCCACGCTCGCCGCGCAGCCACATTATTTATGATAGCATCAGAGCTCGAAGCAAGCTCGCGATTCTCTTCGACTAATAATAACTCGTTTTTCCTCTCACGCCATTTCATTTTTTTCAATCACCGAGTCTTTAACAGACCATGTCCTAAACTGAGTTTTTTAGTATATAAATAAAGCTAGCGTCGGTAATAAAATATTTGCCATACCTATTTTTTCAAGTAGAAAGTAACACAACCGCGGATTGAGCTGCTACTATGAGCTGACGCATATTGAGATACTGACAAGCATTGATTAAACAATACGCAACTTTCACTGACCTCAGAAAACAGACAACGCAATCATTTCGCAGGCGCGCCGCGTAAGCGACTAGTGAAAGTTACCCAAAAGTAGGTATTGCACAAGCCTACATGGCACACGTAATTGAAATTCGGGTGCGGCGAAAGTAAGCTGCTCTATGTATTGTGACATCACATTTAGGGCCTGTTTAGCATTCACTGAAGCTGCGGCTAACATAGTTGAATCGTGTATTCGTGTCCTAAACAAAATCTAGTGGCACATGCCTAGGCAGTAATGCATTAGTGTTTTGTAACAAATCGCATGACCAGTTACATGGTAGGTAGTTTATTAACGTAACTACCTCAGGTATTTCGTTTTATTAGATTTTTAGAGAAACGTGATCAACATAGAGAATTGAGAAGAATTCCAGCAATCTGAAGTTGGCACGCGTCGGTCTGATATAAGCGGGCAGTCAGGCGATAGAAAAACTGAAGCAGAAAAAGTGGTGTACACGTGATCGATGCATCGGCTGGGCGGAGACAGAGTCGCGATGTTACTTTCTACGATACTTTCTAGCAAGAGATGTGGGCCGGAGCCGGCGCAACTAGAGCGATCGGTTTCTCCGCGCGCCGGGAAAATCGGATTGAAATAGAAATCGCATCGCAGAGAAAATCGCCATTTTCACGTCACTACACACGCCAGTGTGGAAACTTTGTAGATTAAATACATGTCAATTAGTTACACAGCGGACTCAAATGTGCCAGGAATTGTGCAGAATCGTAAAATGCGGGCGACGTTAGTAAGGAAGGCGCATGTTTCCTTCGGTTTGTGTGACGTGATCTATATTTGAGGGGAATCAGGAAACGAGCGGCTGATGCTGGGAGTGATCTTCAGCGAGGGCGGACGTGTCGGGCGGACGCACGTGGAAGTGTTTACATCCGTCGAGACTCGAACAGTGCCCACTGCCGAGTGCACGCCATCCGGTGTTAGCTGTATGCTCGAAAATGTCTACATTTTGATGTCTACCCCAAACTACTGAATTACGAATGTATTTCCGAGAAAATAACTCGCTTATATGACTTCCTTATTGCACAGAAGCTTTTTAAATAACCTTGAATGAATAAATCGATGCGATATTTTATTTATACGGCGTTTAAATGTTGGAGTAATTTGGTTAAATATTAAATTGAAAATGTTGGAAATATTACAGTGTCCAAATTCTCCTGTAGGTTTCGACGTGCCCCAAAGCGGAAATTAGAAAGTGGTGGCCGGTTATCACGTCGGGGCACACACTGCGTGGCTGAGGTGAATGTAATGGATACGCCACAACTCCCAACAATCATTTGTTGACACGAGTACTGGTACATCGGGCCCTCTTACTTCCCCATACCATACGTAATAGATAAAACTAGGTTTTTTGTCTCTGTCTACTCCCCAATTTAGTTGAGCGCGCACCCACGCTCCGGCGCGCCTTCTCGAGTAAACAACCAGGGAATGGTAAATAGAAAAGGGAGAGAGATATAATTAGAATAAATGCTGCATACTTTCTGAACTTTACTTAACTTCAAATATATTTGGAATCCGATTAATAATATAGCTTACTGTAAACTTTTAGGTCTAGGTAACAAACCAAACTATGTACCTTTTCTACATAAGTAGGTACGTATCTAATACAATTCTAATTATTGCATATGCAGTATAGGATAATGCAAATTAAAACCAACAAACAAAAGGAAATATCGCAAATTCTTATAAGGTAGGTGTTTACTAGTAAATTCACAGATGTAAAATTGTCATTCAAAGTGCATTTGCTGTAAGCTGTAAACTGGGATAATATCGATGGTTATAGTGCCAACAAAAAAGCAGTGTCAGTTTTTACTGAGCATAGAACTGTTTTGTGTCGCATTAGGGCCATCGTGCAACGGACCGTGACTCGGTATCGCTGCCCTTGCCCTGCGCCCGCGCAAAACACGACCTCGTGGTCATAACGCACAACCGCTGACATCAACACTAACAATCCTAATCCATTCAGATCAGCTATTGATTTCAACCACTATCGAAAATAAACGCCATTTACCTCAAAAACATTATTTAATTACTATACTAACCTTATTTACTATGTTGGAAAGTAGGCCAAGGCACGATAAACGTCAGTGACGTCGAATCGCCTACATAAGTCGCCTAAGGGCTAAATTAAAAGGACGCAGTCTACCAATTAGGTCAACGACACTTTGCTCTTCAAATTGATAGATAACTTATCTGACATAACACGCTCTATTTTTGTTGTACAATTCAATTAATAATAGAGCAATATTAAATATTCATATGCAATGTTAAAACTTCTATCGATGTTGTAGTACTTGTGGTTGTTTATTGCTACCTAGGTATATCATTTCAATAACGTTCTGTATGTAGGTCATTAACACTGGATTTCTGAGAAAATGGCGAACGTAAACGAGGAAAATAATGTGACGGAATCACAATGTAGGTCGAGTAGCGCTCATCGAGGAATATCGAGGCTGAAATAACAAAATGTTTGTCCCAGTTAAGTAACCGACGCTAGTGGCACATTCACGTTTCATTACTACGGTTATTTTGGGCCGATATTTTCGACTACCGAAAATATTCATTAACTAATAACCATATGGTATCAT